AAAAATCGACTCTTAGTATTTTGTTATTGTGGAATAATGTGAAAAAAAATAGTTGTGTGGTTTTTTCATCTTGTCAATATTATAGCATACAGTTACGAATTTTTATTTATTTTGTTTTCTTTGGTAATGTTAAAGGAAATTATTTTAATAAAAAAATTCAGTCAAAATATAAACCTGTCAGAAATATATGATTTTTAAGTTATAGTTTGAAATGAAATGACTCTTAAAAATATGGTAATGTATTAAATTTGGTTTTCTTTAAAAAGTAAATTTAAACGAGTTACATCTAATTACAAATTTTAAAAAATTAATCTTTTATTAAATAACTTCAATTTTATAGGTAAAAAAATAGAAATATTTAAAGTCAAATTTTAAATAATTATTCCACAATTAATATTTATTTGATTTTTAATTTTATTTTGGTCATTTGATTTAAAAAAAATACTCGAATAAAATTTACTAATAATTATTAGCTAATAGAAATATTTGTAAGTTTATGCATACCCATCCTATCAATAAATGAAGATTAAATATTCAGTTTATTATTTCTAGTTATGATATGATTATTTTCATTCCTAATTGTGTTTTATGTATACCATTTTAAATATTTGGCGTTACAATAGAAAGGGGTAGTGTGTGCAAAAGGAAATTGGCCAACTAGAGACGTGATGAAGGAGCAAACAAAGAGATAAAAATGGTTACTATATGATTGAGAGTTTGCCATTGCATTGCATTGTTATGATGTGGTATTGGTCCATGGAATAAGGTGGTCAAAAGATTTGGAGAAATTAAGAATGGGAGTTGCACTTTGTATCAAGTCTGTCTTTTTTACACAAAGAAATGATTAATTTTAAAAGAAGGGAAAAAGATTTATGGGTTTTGGGCCATAGATATGAAAATGGCATAACTAGCAAAATGTTACGTTTGATTTCAAAATTATAATTTTTTTAATTTAAATTTCCAATGAGTTGGAAGGTAATTTATCAGCTGCACCCACAAAAAATTATTGCACAAAAGCGATCTGCCAACTCACACGCCACCAACATGACTCAAAACACCAAAAAGGTAAATCTGAAAACTTGGTGGAGGTGCATTTAGCAAGATGGGGATAGAGGAAGCAAACCCAGACCACTTTCTTTCTCCCATGATGAGGCCTCTTCAAGCCCTGTCTCAAGACACCAACTCATGTTCATATCTCCTACATATAAATATAAATTAAACAATACATATATAATTTACTCAATCATTAAATAAATAGATTTTATTGGGTATCTTAGATTTCAGACATGAGTTGTGAGTAGTTTATGAAAAATTATGAGTAAAATTCATTTAACACCCACAAATTATGCAACTATATATAAAAATTAGAAATTTACGAAAAATAAAATTGAAACTCATATTCTTATTATTGTATCGTATCCATAGAGGCCGAAGGTAACAATCGAACTAGTTCAGTCCATCCACTCAGGTCAAAGATTGGTCGCAATTGGGTACAGCGCTTAAGCTATTGTTGGGCCAACAGTTCACCGATGATAAAATAATCAAAGAATATCTAATTAAAGCTATTGATAAAGCAGGTTATAAACAACCAACCAATTTTCAAGTAATTGTCTACATCTTATTCTGTCTTATATTTTATTGGGATTTATATCAGCTCAGGATCCATGAGGTAAATTATAAATAAAAGCTAGAGTCGAAAGTCAGGTACGTTCTACTTACGCATTATTCACTCTACGATTACTCTCAAATACTCAAACAGTGATAATTATTCACTAAATATTCAACTCAAGAGTCGAGGCTCTTCAACAAAACGCTTAACTTGAGCGTCAGAGTGCCTTTTGCAGGTACATCCCCCCTCGTCAAGAAGGAGACCGATCGGTCTAGCAGTAGGAGATTGAAGGTGACCGAGCGGTCCACACTCACATTAACGAGCTCCAACAAGACCGAGCGTCATATTAAAGTATGGTCTGGTCGATCCAGGCATTCGAAGCATGGAAGACACGTCAGAACAGGTTAGTTTCTCGGTCCCATAAAATCCTACCGAAACATTTTGGCGTCCACCGTGGGACGCAGGGGGGCATCCTACTGAAACCGCAAGGAACCAGACAAGGACGCAGCCTCAACATCAATGTCAACAAGATTCTACGGCTTTACAAGATAATTATTTCGATATAAATTCATTTTATTATATTTTAATTTAAATATCTTAATTCAATATTATAATATTGTGCAAAGATTTAATGACACACTTACCACCTAGCCAAATTTGGCATCAGTGTTCAAACAGTGCAACAGCTCAACCATTCGGCCTCACTTGGTATTAGTCGTTCGGCTTCACAATGCAGGTGTCAGGACCATACAAACCACTCGTCCAAGAGGAGGGCAAGAACCGAGAGGTAAATCCCTCTCGTCCATTAGGAAATTCTCTAGCAATTCCTAGGTCAAAGTCAAAGATCAGGTACCCTGACCAGAGGTAAATCCTCTCATTGAGCAAGCCGCGTAAAACTCGGGAAGAGGAATCACTCAAGCACGGACTGCAGAACTCCAGTAGCCGAGGATAAATCCCTCTTGGAGGAAGTCCATTAGAAGTCTCGAATCTAGTGTAAAGCGGTAGCCGTTTCAAGCTCCTGGTCAAATAAGGGAGTAAAGTCAAAGCCGAACGTAAAGCTTAGAGCACCCAGCAAAGACGGCTAAATCCCTGACAAGATAGCCTCATTGGGTCCGAACCCAGAAACTAAAGTAACCTCAGAAGATTAGGTCAAAGTCAACAGGAGAAACCTCAAGCGACTAAGGTTCAAGAAACCCAATCAGACCAGCGGATCCGTGGGTACCTTATATGAAGCCATTAACCCTCGTAGAGGAGCCTGTGTGTGAAGATAACCGGATAATCCCCTGGCCAGAGGTAACCCTCCAAAAGAGTACGGAACGTGACATCCCCTGATTAATGAACGTAACCACCCAGAGGATCAGTCAAAGCAACCGAGAGGTAATCCCTCTCGGTTCACGTTGAAGGCCGAGAGGAAAATCCTTCTCGGTTCATGTTTACATGGAAAGCAAACTCCTCACTACAGGAAAAACAACCTCCGTCAAACTCATAAGCCCTATAGTTAACCACGGCTAAAGCCGAACGCTTAACTCGGACTTGGGGGACATAATGTATCGTACCCAGTGGAGGCCGAACGATTAACAATCAGCACTGTTCGGTCCATCCACTCAGGTCAAAGATTGGGCCGCAATTGGATCAACGCTTAAGCTATTGTTGGGCCAACAGTTCAGCAGATGATATAATAATCAAATAATATCTAATTAAAGATATTGATAAAGAAGGTTATAAACAACCAACCGGATTTTCAGGTAATCTTTTTATATCTTATTCTGTTTATATTTTATTGGGCTTGTATCCGCTCAGGATCCATGAGGTAAATTATAAATACAAAGCTAGGGCCGAAATCCAGGTACGTTCTACTTACGTATTATTCACTCTACGCTACTCTCAAATACTCAAACAGTGATAATCATTCACTAAATATTCAACCAAGAGTCGAGGCTCTTCAACAACATGCCTAACTTGAGCGTCAGAGTGTCTTTTGCAGGTACATCCCCTCGTCAAGAAGGAGACCGATCAGTCAACAGCAGGAGATTGAAGGTGACCGAGCGGTCCACACTCCACACTAAAGATCGAGCGGTCCACACTAAAAACCAAGCGGTCCATACTGAAGAAAGGCCGGCAATCCAAGCATTCGGAAGCAAGAAAGACACGTTAAAACAGGTTAGTTTCTCGGTTCCATAAAATCCTACCGAAACAATTTTATGAATTAAGTAGTTGCGAAGATCTTCTTAGTGTGTATTCTAATGCATTAATATGGCAAACATGAAGACGTTAACTCCAAAAATGTCGTGAATCTTGAGGTTTAGCAGGAGTCCTCATGTTTTAATATTGGACATGAATAATAATAATGTAGTGTAGTTTGTTGGTTAGTTGGGGGTTAAGACGGTTTCTGTCTGTTGTTCATCTTTGACTCTTCAAACTTGTCAACGCCACACAGTTACAATCCCAGTCAACATTACATATATTATAGTCATTTTAATTGTTTTTTTATTTATTTCATTTACATTAAAGCTGTTTAAAATCAAATAAATTCATTTTTAAACCACAAAACTAATAGGAAAAGATAAGACTCACTTAAACTAAACAAAAGCACGTAATTGTCCTTTTTATTGTGAGAGTTTTTTTTTTATTGAAAATAATGTATAAACAATTTTTTTACAAGTCAAACTAAACTACATAAAATCATTGTTGAATTTGATATTATATATAAAAGGAAATAATTGGAACCATTTTTTCTTGCTGTCATTACTAATATTAATCATTGGGAAATCATAGTTAAAGTTATAATAAGAAAAAAGAGTACATATTATACTAACTTCTGAAGTTAGCTACAATACAAATAATTGATTTTCTAATTAAATATAATTAATATACTTTATTCTCCATTTTTTTAAAAATTTTAAAGTAGTCAAACATATATTTTATATGCATTAATTCTTAAGTGCGCATTAATAGAAGAATTCGAATCCGAAGTTTTGTTTAGAAAAAAATAACGTGTAAAAGTTTGAACTTGACATTATTTTTTAATATTACTATTTTTTAGAAGATGGAATGATTACAGCAGATTCTGATTGAATAAAAAGATTACCATAAAACCCCCACAAATTGACCTTTTCTTACATTTTAGTTTGTACAAATTTTATATAAGAATTTTTGTAAGAAAAGAAATTGTAATTTTAACTAGTCAATAAATTAGTTTCAATTTATAAAAGTTGTTTTCTTTTTCCATATTTTTCTGTGCTTGTGCTTACAAGTTCAAAGTTCAAGTGTTTTAAAATCAATGAGCTATTAATGTATTGTTATTTTGAAGTCCTTACTGCATACAAAACCCCGTCATTTCAAAATTTCAACCTTTTTCATAACAATCCTTCTTCTATGATTCTCTCTCATAATGGGCTCAGAAATCGAGAATCCAACGAACACCCAACAACCTCATAACCAACACAATCCTAACATCGCTTCAACCCAAAATCACGGTTACGAATCGGTTACCAACAAAAGTGAAAGCACTTACCGTTGTGGCGGTGATGACGTCCGCAGTGACAGCCGAGTAACGTTAGTCCACCCTCACTCCCTCCTTCCCATGCCAGTCCCGCCGCAGAATTTCCAATCAAACCAAAACGACGTCGCTCTGCCCACCTTCTCCGTCGGAAGCTTCTTCCGCCAGCGGAGCAGCGACCTCTCCGCTGCGATCGTGAAGCGCGTCTCCTCGCTCCGCGAGTCTGTGGAGGAGGATAACGACGGCGAGGGCGAGAAACAAGGAGTGACGGAGTTTAATCTCTCCGGGGTGAAGGTTGTGGTGACGGCCAAGCCAGAGGAGGAGGAGGCGTCGTTGAGAGGACGCATAAGCTTCTTCTCTCGGTCCAATTGCCGAGACTGCACCGCGGTGCGGAGGTTCTTCAGGGAGAAAGGACTGAGGTTCGTGGAGATAAACGTGGACGTGTTCAGCGAGAGGGAGAGGGAGCTGCGCGAGAGGACGGGGACTGGTTCTGTGCCGCAGATTTTCTTCAACGAGAAGCTGATCGGAGGTCTGGTGGCGCTGAACTCGCTGCGGAACAGCGGGGAGTTCGACCGAAGAGTGGCGGAGATTCTCGGCGGGAAGGCGGCGGATGGGAACGCGCCGTGGCCGCCGGCGTACGGGTTTGATTGTGCAGAGGAGGATCGCGAGGACGAGATGGTTGGAGTGGTTAGGGTTCTGCGGCTGAGGTTGCCGATTCAGGACAGGTTGCGCAGGATGAAAATGGTTAACAACTGCTTCGAAGGAAACGACTTGGTGGAGGCGCCTGATCTCAGCACTTCCACTGCGCGCGTACGAGGTAACGCTTTTCCTTCGTACAACCTATGCCTACGTATTTCTTTTTTTTTTTTTTGTATTTTTCCATTTTTCATCGCTCAACTGGTATATGGTATTGGTATTCTCTTGTATAAAACGACATATTTTTTGAATATTTAACAGTCACGGTTTTGTTGTTGTTGTGTTTTGTTTTTGTTGTTTGTTTTTTTTTGTTTTGTTTTTTTTTTTTTTTTTGTTTTTTTTTTTTTTTTTTCACTTTTAATCGATTTGTTACCAACAAACTTTTTTTGGTAATCCACACATTTAGTTTAAATACACTTCTATAATTAATTAGACATCATAAAATTTAATATATAAAAAAATCATGAAATTTAATATATAAAAAATATGAAAGCTCATATTTGGTTTTAATGGTTTTCGATCACAATTTTATATTTTTAATATGATAGATCAATTTAACCAATGAAAAATGTAGTAAAAAACATATTCTTTTTTATTAAGTTAAACCAGAATAATAATAACATAACTATAATTTTAATATCTTTTCAATTTTTTTATAAATTATATTTATATAATTTTAATAATAGCTTCGATTCTTATAAACCGTCACGTCGGCATCGATATATATACTTATGGGCATGACATTTTATTGTATTATTAATTAATGTGTTTTAATATTAGATGTCATTAGTAAGTTAATAGATAAATAAAATATATAATTATAATTGTGGGAATAAATTCTGAAAAATGGTGAAATTGAGAAAGCCAAGCTATCAAGCTTGCAAGATGAGGTACGTGGGGATAAGGGAAGGGGGTTGTGGGTATTATTAATTTTTCTCTTATTGAAGAACGAGGCCTTTTGGTTTGTTTTTGGGTAGAAGCTTTTTTGGATATGGCAAAGAAGCATAAGCTGTAATAATGACACACATGGGCAGTACTATCATAACAATGCTCGTGTTTTGGAAGGTTATGATTTGGTTTTCAAAAGAAAAATGACGTGGCCTGTCTAAGTATAGATGTGTAATATTTTATTAAGACAGTAGGTTCAAAACGCCTCTAGAACGAATGTTTATGCCAAATAGAAGTGGGGATTGGTAGCTTTTAGACGTAGTCCAATGGTATTAGATAATATGTTAACTGATTTTTTTTTCTTTAATGTGACTGTTAAATGTTTATTCATTTTGTTATCTCACTTTTTTTTTCTTTTCCAATTTGAAGTGGTCAAATTTCAAGATTGCTACTAAAATTGGTTATGTGGTCAAATTTGATGAGCTTAAACAATTTATAAAGTCAAACCCAGTTACACAACAGGGGTCCCATGCACAAATGGAATGTGTTGGCTGCCTAGTGCTGATCACATCCTGTGGAACAGTCAAACAATTACATATTTTGAAATTTTCAATCCCATCTTCAATTTTCTTTTTTTTTTTCCTTTCTGCTGTAGTTTGTGTTATGTCAAGGGAAGTTTTATGTTAAATAAAATAGTAATCAGTGGTCATCTGTAAATAAAAACGAAATATTCATTTTTAGTTTCACAGAAAGTCATGCTTGGCTCGTTCGGCACGGCATCTTGATAACCAGCCACTTGGGCTGCGTCAATGGCTAAAATTCCCATGGATTTTTCTCTATTTTAAATAAACAAATATTCAACGGCTTTTAATTCATTTGGAGTAGTGCATCTAACCTAATGATAACTCAAGGTGGTAGTGGGAAAATTACGCAATCATCTACTTCAAAGGCAACTACGTGCGCATCATTTAGATAAATTCAACCACAAACAAGAGATATTATGGCTGTTTTATTATTTTTGAGGTATTTTAACATCAAATATTTTGTGGTGAAGGATTGGCAGGTCACTGTGGGTTTTCAATTTTTTAATGTTACTCTCTGAATATGATATTTTATGTTCCACTTTCAAATAGTTCTCCCAACTTCTGTTTCCGTAACTCATGATCTGCCGTCTTACAAATATTGATTATAAATTTTCAATAAAATATATTTGTAAAAGTTATTAGAACATCTAATATGTCGATTTTTGTTTATAATCAATTAATAAGGGACAAGTGGTGTGTAAGTACTTTTTAAATTTTGTGATTCTTAAAAATTATTCACACCACCGTAAATACAGGCTGTCCTAGCAAAGAAATAGTTACTTCAAGTAATTGAGGGAAGTCACGTACCTAAGCAAAAAAATATGTGTGAGATAGTCTTTAAAATCTTTTATTGAACAAAAAAAAATGTTATTATTCCTTGTACCTAAAGAGCTCAGGTTTGTACGGGATGGAAAGGTTTTTTAAATTTTCTAATAAAACGGTCGTTTAACTAAGATAACGAATATTTGTTAAGGTGTTTTCATGAACATAGACAAGGAATGTCAAACTATCTTTAATTTATTTTCATTGTATTATTCTCTGTGATGAACTTTTTTTGTATTGTATCCCATCTTTTGCCCCCATTGTGTATGGTTTATCTCCCAACACCCTGATTTTAAAATGTTTTGTTTCAAAAATATTTTGGCTGTTTGAAATCGGACAACAGTCATGTCAANACCGAGTGGCCGACTACCAGGCCGACCACCCAGTAGGTCAACCCACCACTAAATCGAGTGGCCGACCACCAAGCCGAGTGGTCGACCACCAGGCCGAGTGGTCGACCACTAGGCCAAGTGGTCGATCACTGACCAGGCCGACCGACCACTCACCAGGTCGACCGACCACCAGACCGAGTGGCCGACCACCCACCAGGTTGACTTATTTTCTATAATTAGGAACATATTAGCACACACAAAACAATATATTGACACGTTGCCAATAACTGGTGTCAGATCATTAACGCATTAACTCTGTTTGGTTATACTTAATTGACACAAATTTTTATAATTGTAGTATTTAAAACACTTTTAAAAATGGAGACTGAATTGATATTATCCAATAAAACTGGAGACTAAAAAAAATCTATTAGGCAAAATAAAAAAGTGTTCACAAATTACTTATGTTTCATTATAATAATAATTAAATTGCATCATAACATAAGCTTATTTTGCAAATTATTGCACTGATAATAAATAAGGTATTACAGGAAAACTTGTACAACTTTCTTTAAATAGAAAGTACTTAAATGCTAGCTAGATAAACTACATTTGTTTCTTTGATAAATTCAACTATTCATTGTCTACAAGAAACGAATAAGTATATTTTTAAACTACCTGAATTAATTAGGGTATTTTAATTTTTGGGTCCCTGAATTACTTCCACAAACTTTTATATGTGTATTTTTCATTATTTAAATGAGATCATTAAACTGTCCATTAAGAATATTGTAAACTTTTGCAAAATAAGTTTACTATAACTTAAGAATTAAGATATATAGAAAAATTAAATAAATATAAAAAAACTGAGAAAGTTAGACTACACATGAACACAAACATTTCATAGGATCTGAAAATTGTTTCCAGAAACATCATGGTCCCATTCAGTTTCGTTGCATTATTGAAGGTGCTAATATACTAAAAGTATCATTGTTTTTATATTCCTTTTTACCACATATGCAAACTTGAGACGCAAATTTTACAGACTCTATCTCTTAGGTCACGAAAAACTTTTCATTACATGTATGTACTACTCTTTTGTTTTAGTATATTCAATAATTCTCGTATAAGAGTAAAAGTTAATGAAAAATTTAAATATGTTTTTCTCTTTTAATTTTTTGAACAATTTTTTAAAATTAAAATCATAACAAAAATTTCATATTTCAAAACAAAAGATATTTCATATGTAAGGATGAATTTTAATAATATTGTTCTTATTATACTCCTTAGTCTCATGTTATTTAAGAGTTAGTTTAACTACTACTTTCTCTTTACACATTTTCAAACGCTTTTTAAGGATAAAATTATAACGAATCTCTAATTTTAAACAATAATTTGGATATATAATGATTTATCATAACTATATCATTCAATAAATTTGAAATCAAAACATTAATCCATAAAATCGAAAGAATAATAGATTGTTATATAATGAATTAATATGTATGGGTTTATAACCTTGGCAATGTTGAGCACACACTCATACATGGGACATTAGTTTTTTGTACATGGTTGTAGAGATATGAAGTGGAAAATTGGCATGAGGATGAAGAAGAGAAGTCCAGAAAGCAAGAAGGTTGAAGAAGAAGGAATTACCACAAAGGGTGTGAGAATATGAAGAGAGAGTTGAAAAAGATAAAGGGAGGGGGTGAAAGAAAGTGAGATGTCACATACATGATATATTAAAGAGAGTGATAATAATTTAGGGTAAAAGTGGGTCCAAGGAGTTCAAAATACCAAAAACTCATCCCTTAGGGTTAGGGTCTAAAGCATGTGGGGTAGTTTTGGGGTTTCTACTTAGAGAAAAGGTTCCATTGCTATGTGAAGGACATTAATGGCAGTTTCCATTTTTGGGTGTGGACCCTCAGTGTTGCCATCAGCCAGAAGAGCTTTCAAGTCCTTCTCTTATTTATTTGAATTGAATTATATAAGATATAGTTATTAAAAAAAGAAAAATGAAGTTAGTTGAAGTGAATATATTTAAAGAGAGGATGATAGTGGAGAGACATGAGAGAAGAGGTAGCTATATATTTGCCAGCATTCAGAGTTGAACTTTTAAAGAAGGAAGTTTGATGGGAGAGAAGGTGATGTGGGCTAGGGTTACCCTTTTCATATTTTTCAATGCTTCTTGCTTTTCGATTTCGAATTTCTTTGGGGTAACTTCATTCTGCCCTACCCTTCTTTTTTCTCAATAAAATAACCTTAAAAGCTCTATTATTTTTTGCCTTTTTTAGTTAGTACCATTTTTTGTCTTTCCTTTCCAAATTTTAACCAAAAAACAATTTCACAATAAATAATTCTTTTCCACCGTATTATATTCATGTTAAATTTTATACATTAATCACTTCCTTTTTAAACACCTAAATATTTAAATTAATTTTACTTTTTAAGTAGACTGATTTGATATATAAATTTTAACGGAAATATAACATTAATATAAAATAAATAACTTAATTGAATTATTTTTAAAAATTAAAAAATTAAATTGAACAAAATAATATTTTGGATCTAATTGAATTTTTAATAAAAATTAGAGGAAAAAAGGATTTTGACTCTAAATAATATTCCAAAAAGAATTTTGTTAATTATCATTATAAATTGTATGTAATTTAAAATAGAAAGTGGATAAAAATATTTTTTTTAATTCTACATTATTTAGATGTAAAGTCAAATTATACTATATAATGTAAATCAGTTAGTTTTATAAGACTAGATTAAACATAAAATATTATCAAAGTTTCTGTTAGATAAGTAGTAAATATTCACACTTAAGATATTTGTATTTTAGAGTGAGAGTAAATATTAAAAGTTTCACAATTCGGACCACCCAAAATAAAATTATATATATATTTGTTGGAGAGTGTGTTAAAAATCAACATTTATTAGAAATAATATCAGTCTATATAACATATGAGTGGATGAGAAAACATCTCTTTACAAAGTATTGTAACATTGAGTTTTAATTTCTTAAGACATCCATTAAAAAAAATCAAATTATAACATATAAATAGATTATGAATATTATGCATAACATTGTTCTTATATTATTTAGATGTAGGCCATGTAGCCACACCCCCGTTAATGAAACGTTAATAATTTAACGTGCACATGTCCACACGTGACCTTTCAAAAAGTATATTTTAAATTACTTCAAAAATTCCTTAATAGCATGTTTTTAACATGTTTCACACCCAGGAAGCACTTCACTACAGAACAAAATCAAATTCCCATCCAATTTCACTCATTGCTATAAGAAAATATTAGTTAAGAAAAAACCCTAACACCCAACTCATATGACTTATTTCTACTTTGGGAGATTTACCATATAAGCTTTACTGGCTCAAATTATTATTAAATAATATATCTTTAATTCAATTATTTCATATTTTTCATTTAAATTCATAGTCTGAAAAGTATAAAAGAGTTAATTTGTAGTTAAAAATGTATATAGGACCACAAGATGTAAAAGTGTGAAAGTGGTATTATGAGCCATATATGGAAAGAAGTTACCTAATATTTCTAAAACATGATTTAGAAATATAAAGTAACCTCAAATTGATGATAAATATAGAAGGGTTATTAATGCACATTACCTATAAATTATAATATAGATGAGTTGTACCAAAATTTATAGAATTAGTTTTATTATTGTGAGAAAAAAATAACACCTAGTTTTAACAATCATTGAATAGCCTCCAATCACTTTCGATCTTTCCACGACCTAACACAACACTCACTCACCATATGCTACCACTTTCATCCTCTCAAAACCATCGACCATTGTTGCTTATATATTATATATATGCACACCTTCCTAACCATACAAAAATCCCATGCCAAACCCACAATAAAAACATCACTACAAATCCTAAAACAATTCAAAAAAAAATTAATGTTTAAACACTAATTACTAATTACAATGAAAAATTTTATATTGGATTATTGTGTATGAGTAGAACTTATCAGCTATCCGTCTTAAATGAAAAATTCGACTTCATATTTATTTTGTTATTTGTGGAATAAATGTGAAAAAAAAATTTGTGGATTTTTTCATACTTGTCAATATTTATAGATACTTACGAATTTTTATTTTATTTTGTTTTTCTTTTTTAATTTTAAATGAAATTATTTAATAAAAAATATCATCAAAATATAAACCTTCATAAATAATAATGATTTTTAAGTATAGTTGAAATGAAATTACTCTATAAAATATTAATGTATATAAATTTGGTTTTCTTTAAAAAGTAAATTTAAACGAGTTACATCTAATTACAAATTTTAAAAAATTAATCTTTTATTAAATAACTTCAATTTTATAGGTAAAAAAATAGAAATATTTAAAGTCAAATTTTAAATAATTATTCCACAATTAATATTTATTTGATTTTTAATTTTATTTTGGTCATTTGATTTAAAAAAAATACTCGAATAAAATTTACTAATAATTATTAGCTAATAGAAATATTTGTAAGTTTATGCATACCCATCCTATCAATAAAAAAGTAATTAAATATTCATGTTTATTATTTCTAGTTATGATATGAATTATTTTTCATTCCTAATTGTGTATGTATACCATTTTAAAATAATTTGGCTTACAATAGAAAGGGTTAGTGTGTGCAAAAGGAATTGCCAACTAGAGACGTGATGAAGGAGGCAAACAAAGAGATAAAAATGGTTACTATAATGATTGAGGTTTGCATTGCATTGCATTGTTATGATGTGGTATTGGTCCATGGAATAAGGTGGTCAAAAGATTTGGAGAAATTAAGAATGGGAGTTGCACTTTGTATCAAGTCTGTCTTTTTTACACAAAGAAATGATAATTTTAAAAGAAGGGAAAAAGATTTATGGGTTTTGGGCCATAGATATGAAAATGGCATAACTAGCAAAATGTTACGTTTGATTTCAAAATTATAATTTTTTTAATTTAAATTTCCAATTGTAGTGAAGGGTAATTTTCATCAGCTGCACCCACAAAAATTATTGCACTAAATATGACTCTTCTTACCTCTAAACTTCACCACTCCAACCCAACCATACTCAAACACCAAAAGGTAAATATGAAAACTTGTGGAGGTGCATTTAGCAATTATGGGATAGAGGAAGAAAAACCCAGTACACTTTCTTTCTCCCATGATGAGCCTCTTCAAGCCCCGTCTCAAGCACCAACGTCATTTTCATATCTCGCTACATATAAATATATAAAAAACATCTTAACATCAATTTACATAATAATAATTTACTCAATCCATTAAATAAATAGAAAATTTTTTAATTTGGGGTATATTAGATTTCAAGATATGAGTTGTGAGTAGTTTATGAAAATTATGAGTAAAATTCATTTAACCCACAAATTATGCAAACTATATATAAAAATTAGAAATTTACGAAAAATAAAATTGAAACTCATATTCTTATTATTGTATCGTATCCAGTGGAGGCCGAATGGCTAACAATCAGCACCGTTCAGTCCATCCACTCAGGTCAAAGATTGGCTCGTAATTGGGTCAGCGCTTAAGCTATTGTTGGGCCAACAGTTCAACCGATGATAAAATAATCAAAGAATATCTAATTAAAGCTATTGATAAAGCAGGTTATAAACAACCAACCGAATTTTCAAGTAATCTGTCTACATCTTATTTTGTTTATATTTTATTGGGTTTATATCAGCTCAGGATCCATGAGGTAAATTATAAATACAAAGCTAGAGTCGAAAGTCAGGTACGTTCTACTTACGCATTATTCACTCTACGATACTCTCAAATACTCAAACAGTGATAATTATTCACTAAATATTCAACTAAGAGTCGAGGCTCTTCAACAAAACGCTTAACTTGAGCGTCAGAGTGCCTTTTGCAGGTACATCCCCCCTCGTCAAGAAGGAGACCGATCGGTCAGCAGTAGGAGATTGAAGGTGACCGAGCGGTCCACACTCTACATTAAAGACCGAGCGGTCCACACTAAAGACCGAGCGGTCCATATTAAAGTATGGTCGGTGATCCAGGCATTCGGAAGCATGGAAGACACGTCAGAACAGGTTAGTTTCTCGGTCCCATAAAATCCTACCGAAACATTTTGGCGTCCACCGTGGGACCGGGGGGCATCCTACTGAAACCGCAAGGAACCAGACAAGGACGCAGCCTCAACATCAATGTCAACAAGATTCTTCGGCTTTACAGATAATTATTTCGATATAAATTCATTTTATTATATTTTAATTTAAATATCTTAATTCAATATTATAATATTGTGCAAAGATTTAATGACACACTTACCACCTAGCCAAATTTGGCATCAAGTGTTCAACAGTGCAACAGCTCAACCATTCGGCCTCACTGGTATTCAGCCGTTCGGCTTCACAATGCAGGTGTCAGGACCATACAAACCACTCGTCCAAGAGGAGGGCAAGAACCGAGAGGTAAATCCCTCTCGTCCGTTAGGAAATTCTCTAGCAATTCCTAGGTCAAAGTCAAAGATCGAGAGGTAAATCCCTCTAGACCAAAAGGTAAATTCCTCTCATTGAAGACAAAGACCGAGCGGTAAAACCTTCTCGGGTCGGGAGAGAGGTAAATCCCACTCAAAGCCGAACGGTAAAGCTCGTTCCCTAGGAAACACTCCTAGCTAAAAGACCGAGCGATAAATCCCTCTTGGCAGAGAGGTAAAGTCCTCCCATTAGGAAGTTCTCCACGAACTCCTAGTGTAAAGCCGAACGGTAAAGCCCGTTTCTTAGGAAGAACTCCTAGGTCAAAGTCAAAGCAGGAAGGTAAAGCCCTCTCAAAGCCGAACTGTAAAGCTCGTTCCCTAGGAAGCACTCCTAGCTAAAAGACCGAGCCGTAAATCCCTCTCGACAGAGAGGTAAAGTCCTCCCATTAGGAAGTTCTCCACGAACTCCTAGCGTAAAGCTGAACAGTAAAGCCCATTCCCAAGGAAGAACTCCTAGGTCAAAGTCAAAGCAGGGAGGTAAAGCCCTCTCAAAGCCGAACAGTAAAGCCCGTTCACTAGGAAGAACTCCTAACTCAAAGACCAAGCGGTAAATCCCTCTCGCCCTAGGGGTAAATCCCTCTCGATGATGTTGAAGACCGAGCATTAAAACCCTCTCGGTAGAGAGGTAAAGTCCTCTTGATGATGTTGAAGATAAAGACCGAGAGGTAAATCCCTCTCGGCCGAGAGGTAAAACCCTCTCGCCAACAAACTGAAGTTATAAACGGAACGGTGAAGACAATCCCCCGTGTACTATAAATCGAACGGTAAAACCCACTCCCTAGGAGGAACTCCTAGGTCAAAGTCAAAGACCGAGAGGTAAATCCCTCTTGGCCGAGAGGTAAATCCCTCTCGGTTCATGTTGAAGGCCGAGAGGAAAATCCTTCTCGATTCATGTTTACATGGAAAGCAAACTCCTCACTACAGGAAAAACAGCCTCCGTCAAACTCACAAGTCCTATAGTTAACCACGGCTAAAGCCGAACGCTTAACTCGGACTTGGGGGACATAATGTATCGTACCCAGTGGAGGCGGAACGGTTAACAATCAGTACTGTTCGGTCCATCCACTCAGGTCAAAGATTGGGCCGCAATTGGATCAACACTTAAGCTATTGTTGGGCCAACAGTTCAGCAGATGATAAAATAATCAAAGAATATCTAATTAAAGATATTAATAAAGCAGGTTATAAACAACCAACCGAATTTTTAGGTAATCTGTTTATATCTTATTCTGTTTATATTTTATTGGGCTTGTATCAGCTTAGGATCTATGAGGTAAATTATAAATACAAAGCTAGGGCAGAAATCCAGGTACGTTCTACTTACGCATTATTCATTCTACGCTACTCTCAAATACTCAAACAGTGATAATCATTCATTAAATATTCAATCAAGAGCCGATGCTCTTCAACAACATGCCTAACTTGAGCGTCGGAGTGCCTTTTATATGTACATCCCCCTCGTCAAGAAGGAGACCGATCGGTCAGTAGCAGGAGATTGAAGGTGACCGAGCAGTCCACACTAAAGACCAAGCGATCCGTAATGAAGAAAGGCCGACGATCCAGGCATTCGAAAACAAAAAAAACACGTCAAAACAGGTTAGTTTCTCGGTCCCATGAAATTCTATATGAATTAAGTAGTTGCGAAGATTTTCTTAGTGTGTATTCTAATGCATTAATATGGCAAACATGAAGAAGTTAACTCCAAAAATGTCGTGAATCTTGAGGTTTAGCAGGAGTCTCATGTTTTAATATTGGACATGAATAATAATAATGTAGTGTAGTTTGTTGGTTAGTTGGGGGTTAAGACGGTTTCTGTCTGTTGTTCATCTTTGACTCTTCAAACTTGTCAACGCCACACAGTTACAATCCCAGTCAACATTACATATATTATAGTCATTTTAATTGTTTTTTTATTTATTTCATTTACATTAAAGCTGTTTAAAATCAAATAAATTCATTTTTAAACCACAAAACTAATAGGAAAAGATAAGACTCACTTAAACTAAACAAAAGCACGTAATTGTCCTTTTTATTGTGAGAGTTTTTTTTTTATTGAAAATAATGTATAAACAATTTTTTTACAAGTCAAACTAAACTACATAAAATCATTGTTGAATTTGATATTATATATAAAAGGAAATAAATGGAACCATTTTTTCTTGCTGCATTACTAATAATTAATAATTGGAAATCATAAGTTAAAGTTATAAGAAAAAAACAATTATACTAACTTCTGAAGTTAGCTACAATACAAATAATTGATTTTCTAATTAAATATAATTAATATACTTTAATCTCCATTTTTTTAAAAATTTTAAAGTAGTCAAACATATATTTTATGCATTAATTCTTAAGTGCGCATTAATAGAAGAATTCGAATCCGAAGTTTTTGTTTTAAGAAAAAATAACGTGTAAAAGTTGAAATTGACATTATTTTTAATAATTAATATTTTTAGAAGATGGAATGGATTACAGCATATTATGATTGAATAAAAGATTAACATAATAACCATCCAAAAAATTGACCTTTTCTTACATTTTAGTTTGTACAAATTTTATATAAGAATTTTTGTAAGAAAAGAAATTGTAATTTTAACTAGTCAATAAATTAGTTTCAATTTATAAAAGTTGTTTTCTTTTTCCATATTTTTCTGTGCTTGTGCTTACAAGTTCAAAGTTCAAGTGTTTTAAAATCAATGAGCTATTAATGTATTGTTATTTTGAAGTCCTTAACTGCATAAAACCCCATCAATTTCAACCTTTTTCATAACAATCCTTCTTCTATGATTCTCTCTCATAATGGGCTCAGAAATCGAGAATCCAACGAACACCCAACAACCTCATAACCAACACAATCCTAACATCGCTTCAACCCAAAATCACGGTTACGAATCGGTTACCAACAAAAGTGAAAGCACTTACCGTTGTGGCGGTGATGACGTCCGCAGTGACAGCCGAGTAACGTTAGTCCACCCTCACTCCCTCCTTCCCATGCCAGTCCCGCCGCAGAATTTCCAATCAAACCAAAACGACGTCGCTCTGCCCACCTTCTCCGTCGGAAGCTTCTTCCGCCAGCGGAGCAGCGACCTCTCCGCTGCGATCGTGAAGCGCGTCTCCTCGCTCCGCGAGTCTGTGGAGGAGGATAACGACGGCGAGGGCGAGAAACAAGGAGTGACGGAGTTTAATCTCTCCGGGGTGAAGGTTGTGGTGACGGCCAAGCCAGAGGAGGAGGAGGCGTCGTTGAGAGGACGCATAAGCTTCTTCTCTCGGTCCAATTGCCGAGACTGCACCGCGGTGCGGAGGTTCTTCAGGGAGAAAGGACTGAGGTTCGTGGAGATAAACGTGGACGTGTTCAGCGAGAGGGAGAGGGAGCTGCGCGAGAGGACGGGGACTGGTTCTGTGCCGCAGATTTTCTTCAACGAGAAGCTGATCGGAGGTCTGGTGGCGCTGAACTCGCTGCGGAACAGCGGGGAGTTCGACCGAAGAGTGGCGGAGATTCTCGGCGGGAAGGCGGCAGATGGGAACGCGCCGTGGCCGCCGGCGTACGGGTTTGATTGTGCAGAGGAGGATCGCGAGGACGAGATGGTTGGAGTGGTTAGGGTTCTGCGGCTGAGGTTGCCGATTCAGGACAGGTTGCGCAGGATGAAAATGGTTAACAACTGCTTCGAAGGAAACGACTTGGTGGAGGCGCTGATTCAGCACTTCCACTGCGCGCGTAACGAGGTACGTTTTTCCTTCGTACACCCTATGCCTACGTATTTCTTTTTCTTTTTTTTTTTGTATTTTTCCATTTTTCATCGCTCAACTGGTATATGGTATTGGTATTCTCATTGTATACGACAATATTTTTGAATATTTAACAGTCACGGTATCACTCTTAATCGATTTGTTACCAACAAATTTTTTGGTAGATCAACACATTTAGTTTAAATACACTTCTATAATTAATTAGACATCATAAAATTTAATATATAAAAAAATCATGAAATTTAATATATAAAAAAATATGAAAGCTCATATTTGGTTTTAATGGTTTTCGATCACAATTTTATATTTTTAATATGATAGATCAATTTAACCAATGAAAAATGTAGTAAAAAACATATTCTTTTTTATTAAGTTAAACCAGAATAATAATAACATAACTATAATTTTAATATCTTTTCAATTTTTTTATAAATTATATTTATATAATTTTAATAATAGCTTCGATTCTTATAAACCGTCACGTCGGCATCGATATATATACTTATGGGCATGACATTTTATTGTATTATTAATTAATGTGTTTTAATATTAGATGTCATTAGTAAGTTAATAGATAAATAAAATATATAATTATAATTGTGGGAATAAATTCTTGAAAAATGGTGAAATTGAGAAAGCAAGCTATCAAGCTGCAAGAGTGAGGTAAGTGGGGATAAGGGAAGGAGGTTGTGGGTATTAATTTTTCTCTTATTGAAGAACGAGGCTTTTGGTTGTTTTTGGGGTAGAAGCTTTTGGATATGGCAAAGAAGCATAAGCTGTAATAATGACACACATGGGCAGTACTATCATAACAATGCTCGTGTTTTGGAAGGTTATGATTTGGTTTTCAAAAGAAAAATGACGTGGCCTGTCTAAGTATAGATGTGTAATATTTTATTAAGACAGTAGGTTCAAAACGCCTCTAGAACGAATGTTTATGCCAAATAGAAGTGGGGATTGGTAGCTTTTAGACGTAGTCCAATGGTATTAGATAATATGTTAACTGATTTTTTTTTCTTTAATGTGACTGTTAAATGTTTATTCATTTTGTTATCTCACTTTTTTTTTCTTTTCCAATTTGAAGTGGTCAAATTTCAAGATTGCTACTAAAATTGGTTATGTGGTCAAATTTGATGAGCTTAAACAATTTATAAAGTCAAACCCAGTTACACAACAGGGGTCCCATGCACAAATGGAATGTGTTGGCTGCCTAGTGCTGATCACATCCTGTGGAACAGTCAAACAATTACATATTTTGAAATTTTCAATCCCATCTTCAATTTTCTTTTTTTTTTTCCTTTTCTGCTGTTAGTTTGTGATATGTCAAGGGAAGTTTTATGGTTAAATAAAATAGTAATCAGTGTCATCTGTAAATAAAACGAAATATTCATTTTTAGTTTCACAGAAAGTCATGCTTGGCTCGTTCGGCACGGCATCTTGATAACCAGCCACTTGGGCTGCGTCAATGGCTAAAATTCCCATGGATTTTTCTCTATTTTAAATAAACAAATATTCAACGGCTTTTAATTCATTTGGAGTAGTGCATCTAACCTAATGATAACTCAAGGTGGTAGTGGGAAAATTACGCAATCATCTACTTCAAAGGCAACTACGTGCGCATCATTTAGATAAATTCAACCACAAACAAGAGATATTATGGCTGTTTTATTATTTTTGAGGTATTTTAACATCAAATATTTTGTGGTGAAGGATTGGCAGGTCACTGTGGGTTTTCAATTTTTTAATGTTACTCTCTGAATATGATATTTTATGTTCCACTTTCAAATAGTTCTCCCAACTTCTGTTTCCGTAACTCATGATCTGCCGTCTTACAAATATTGATTATA